TTTAAAGGCCCACCGTCATTCGAGATCCTTTGCGCGTCCTGCTTGAATTTCGTGTAACACGAAATTATGAAAATTTAGAGTGAGCATTTCAATCCTRATTTATCCAAGCAATCCTTTGTTTTTCTAACGAGTTTTTGTTATCAATCAATCAACTGCATATTAATTTGTGTATTTCAAGTAATATTTTTTTCTAAAAAATGTAAAAAGAATATTAAATAAGATTGTAAATATTTTGTATATCAAGATGGCGGCAAGACCAATTCGACGGCCTGGATGACCGAAGTTCCCAGGTTCCCTAAAACCATCCGATTACGGGACTCGGTGTTTCGTGTTTGGAGAGATACAAAAGAGACCCTGGGCTTTGAAAGGGGCTCAGATAGCGAGTTTGCAGAACACTTGCTTCAGCGAAGGTGAATTGGACATGTATGGTATCGCCGTTCGGTAGACATTTTGGGCATTCCGGCTTCGGGTACCGGCCGAATCTGTTGTATTTTGAGACATTGATCATAGTTTCTAGTCGCTTTTTGTAGTCCAAATTTTCTTGTTCWTCGATCATCTTTACTTGGTGCTTCTCATTCACAGACCAAGTATCACAGACCTYTTATTAATAGAGCATAAAACAAAGCTTTCATTTTGAAAACAAAATCCGATAACTCGGGTATAAGTTGGCCGTGAATTTCAACTTATACCCGAGTTGTCGGATTTTCTTACCTCAGAAGAGCTGGGAAGACCTTGAGTTTTCTAAATATGACCCATAAGCGTTTACATTAATTACATTCCCTTCGTGATTTTCTTGCTCCATGATCGTTGAAGAAATTTCGGCTTCAACGAAAACATTTTCCCGCCGACTTTGACAAGTGGACGCGAGCGCAAGCCTCGACATCATGACAATCAAAAAAATAATAAAAGCGCGCAAAAGATCTCGAATGACGGTGGGCCTTTAAGGTTGAAGTTTTGTTCAAAGTTTGCACGTGAAAATGCATGACGGTTTCTCTTGCTTCTGATTGGTCAATGAACAATAAACATTCCCGAAATATTTCGATACGGTCACGGCTTTTTGATTCGCACTGTAATTTCAATGTAGCATTATCCCGGGGGGGAACTCCCTTATAAGAGTTGGTAGGTATGCTCGACGGACCTTTTAGGGTCGAAAATATAACCCTCGCGTACCTTTTTTAGGGTTCTGAGCTGACAGCAAATCTGGATTGCGGTTGGAAATCGGAAAGTTGAATGTTGAATAGCAATAATCGACAATAATATTACTTCAAGCGAAAATTTTTTTTTTCTTTTCCCTGTCAAACGCCCCACCGTCAGGATTTGACCAAATCCAGTAAAAAATTCTCTACCTTGGGACCTCTGTTTAGTTGTCAAATGCCCCAAGATGGGCCTCCAGACAATAAAGTGCATTTTCAAGTTCATCTTGAAATTTTTCTTATATAATGCCAATAACTAAATTTTGTTAACAGACTTACAACATAAGCAAGTACACATTATTATCCCGGCTTGTTGGGTAAAAATAATATCAAACATGATCAAGTTTTAATTCACAATTTACCATCGATCTTTCATAACAATTTGAATACGACCACGAGTCAATGGTAAATAACATGCATTAGTCCCAAACAAAGTGCGTGGTAACAAGCAACACAGCAATCACATTAAATCCATGATAATTCATCATCATCGATGACTAACTCATCTGGTGGGTCAGGTGAAATATGTAGTACTTTGCAACAATCAGATCCATAAGAATATTTTTGGGACTTCCTAAGCACTAGATTTACTTTGCCTGTATCCGTACCCACGGGCTGGATTTTAGGCAAGTATCCTGGCAAATGCCCCACTATGGGGCATCAAATATACGTCTAATCCCCATCCCTCGCAGGCTTGACATTGATAGGTGCATAACTATGGATACACTTTGTTGAAATCCATTAATACTGAATAAAGCTTAGTTGTTATTCTCACACTAGCGATGAATCTAATACGATTGTTGAAATCCGGATTTTTAAAATTTTTAACATGGAMATTTTTAAACATGCAAGAAAAGGTATTTCGAGCTCCCTGTGGTGGACGAGCAATTCTACAGTATCACGTGACACGTCAACCCAGTATCCCATACTCCGAAACCCTCATATAAACACTGTCGGTAGTAGAGTTTTTATAGATTTTTGAGTTAAAAATGCCGAATCGGTGTGTGTTGTTTACGGTTGTAACAACACACCAAATATCAACGAAAGTATTGTCTTATTGTCTGGGTTTACGTCACACTTGTTTCCATACTTCTATAAAGCATGAACCTTTAAATTGTAGGTGAATAAATTCAGTCCATCAGAATACGTATAGAGAGGATAGAGAGTGCATTTWCGTCGTTTTTTAATGTTTGTTATTTTGTTTTTCAGGTGTTTATTTACAGGTTGTTGTCGGTAAGTTGTCTTCTTTAGATTGTATTGTATTCAATTCCCATACTATTTATTTCTAGTTTTTTTTCAATAATGAAGGTCACTGTGACTACTAGCATGCAAGTGTCAAGACCATTTCTTGACAATATCACATTGTAACCTTGTGGTCTGATAGTGTTTAAAAATAACCCAACTATTGTTTCATAATCCTGATAGTCGAGYGTAATTTTTTCTCGTTATTTTCATTTTATGCAGGGGCGTATCCATAATATTTTTTGGGGGGAGGGGGTCCTTACATACCCAATTTTCACTATGAGGTCATGAATGTCATTTTGATCTATGGTTTTTGTGCTTTTTTGGCTTTGAAAGGGGGGTCACGGGCACTCTCTGACCCCCCCGGATSAAATAGAACCCCTCATATGTGTAAGTGGTCAGTTGAGTTAGGCCACTTTGAAAGGATTGCGAACTATTTAGCACCCAGTAAATATAGTTATAGTATATTTGGTTGTCAGCTGAATACTCTACATATTAATTTATTGTATCTTTAAGTTAATACTTTACTAAGTATATGATATATTAATAATAACAGACTGGCACAATAGAAGAGAAGATATTCCAAAGACAAGCACACAAGAAGGCGCTAAGTAGCTGTGTTGTTGATGAAGAAGAAGATGTTGAAAAGCACTTTTCAAGAGAACAATTACGAGACTTGTTTAGACTGAATGAGGAAACACTCAGTGATACACATGACAAGTCAGTATAGCAGTTTGCATTGCATTGTTGTCTAGATTCGTTACAAACATCCTTTGTTCATACTGCCAAATATGGTGTTGTTTGTGCTGAAGCTAGAACACAATGCACCATAATTTTGTTTTTGACAGAAAAGTGACCTATTTTCACTGGTCTCTCTCGCGCTCAAAAGGGATGAGTATGGGCATCTACAGCCGCGATAAGGGGAGAAAGCGAAAGTCGAACTGCACGGGGGGGGGGGGGGGGATCGTGAAAAATCGCGACCGCGTAGGTGAGCGCGTAAGAGAAATAACTGCTATCGCTCCTGATCAATCCGGATCCCCGGCTCGAAGTTTACAAGTGTGATGGGAGTGTGATGTCATCCCTTTTATACGCTATGTGAGAGAGACCGCTGACAATAGGTCTATGATAACTAATTATCTGTCCTAAATGTGAATATATTAATATTATTATTGGCTGCTAATAATTACTGACATATACCCTAGAGAAACTTTTGTATGACTGTGCAAAAAGCACGGTACCTTCGCGCTGTGACCGTACCGTGCCGTAGCGGTGATGTATTTTGTTAAATCTTTAGAGCGGATTTCGTATGAGTGGGACACCGTTACCGCACGGTTACCGCACAGTTACCGCACCTGGCCTTCACAATTTTGGTAAACCAATGGGGCACTAGAATTTGGTTACAGTACGATTACGGTCACAGTACAGTACCGTCCGTTTCCCACTCATACGAAATCCGCTCTATTGTTATTTGGAATCCTAGAAGGCGAGGTTCCGTGACCGTGCCCTGTCGTGTTGTGATCCGTGCCGTTGCATAGTCATACGAAATCCGCTCTATCAAATTATTACAATTTGACACCATGATGAGATCAAAAACAATGACATAAAAACGTCACTTGCGGAAAACTATTACATGTGCTTATAAAATGTCTTTAATTTAGTAAATGCATTGTTATAACGACTGTCCTTAGATGTCAGTCAGTTGTCTAGCTACACCATGTTGTGCATTGATATCACAGATTGCGATTTAGAATTCAAAGATGTAAACAAAGCATAACACTTCAGTAATTTTGATTTAAGGGTGTACTGACGTATCCGTTTCTAGACAACCTGGTTGCTATGCTAGCCGATGCTAGCCAATCGGAGAAGCGGGCGTGCGCACGTTTTCATGGCGGGAAAATTTTTACTTCCGGTGAATTTCTCTAGCAACGGATATGTCAGTACAATAGATTACAGACAATACATTCAACTACATCTACTAAGAGATAACATTCGTAACATTGGTGTATTGTAGGTTCAAGTGTCGCCGATGTGTCAATAATATTCAAGTACATGCATGCCCTGAAGACTCTACGTGTGGTTCAAATCTCTCTCAGTGGAATCACTGCGCAAGCACTAAAGGTCTTGATGACATCATACTCAAGCAAGCATGGAATAGTGGAGTTAGTTTTGTATTTCATCAAAAATCTCATGAGAAACAGTTGGGAGGGGTATAGTGTGCAAGCACTAAAGGTCTTGATGACACCATACTCAAGCAAGCATGGAATAGTGGAGTTAGTTTTGTATTTCATCAAAAATCTCATGAGAAACAGTTGGGAGGGGTATAGTGTGCAAGCACTAAAGGTCTTGATGACACCATACTCAAGCAAGCATGGAATAGTGGAGTTAGTTTTGTATTTCATCAAAAATCTCATGAGAAACAGTTGGGAGGGGTATAGTGTGCAAGCACTAAAGGTCTTGATGACACCATACTCAAGCAAGCATGGAATAGTGGAGTTAGTTTTGTATTTCATCAAAAATCTCATGAGAAACAGTTGGGAGGGGTATAGTGTGCAAGCACTAAAGGTCTTGATGACACCATACTCAAGCAAGCATGGAATAGTGGAGTTAGTTTTGTATTTCATCAAAAATCTCATGAGAAACAGTTGGGAGGGGTATAGTGTGCAAGCACTAAAGGTCTTGATGACACCATACTCAAGCAAGCATGGAATAGTGGAGTTAGTTTTGTATTTCATCAAAAATCTCATGAGAAACAGTTGGGAGGGGTATAGTGTGCAAGCACTAAAGGTCTTGATGACACCATACTCAAGCAAGCATGGAATAGTGGAGTTAGTTTTGTATTTCATCAAAAATCTCATGAGAAACAGTTGGGAGGGGTATAGTGTGCAAGCACTAAAGGTCTTGATGACACCATACTCAAGCAAGCATGGAATAGTGGAGTTAGTTTTGTATTTCATCAAAAATCTCATGAGAAACAGTTGGGAGGGGTATAGTGTGCAAGCACTAAAGGTCTTGATGACACCATACTCAAGCAAGCATGGAATAGTGGAGTTAGTTTTGTATTTCATCAAAAATCTCATGAGAAACAGTTGGGAGGGGTATAGTGTGCAAGCACTAAAGGTCTTGATGACACCATACTCAAGCAAGCATGGAATAGTGGAGTTAGTTTTGTATTTCATCAAAAATCTCATGAGAAACAGTTGGGAGGGGTATAGTGTGCAAGCACTAAAGGTCTTGATGACACCATACTCAAGCAAGCATGGAATAGTGGAGTTAGTTTTGTATTTCATCAAAAATCTCATGAGAAACAGTTGGGAGGGGTATAGTGTGCAAGCACTAAAGGTCTTGATGACACCATACTCAAGCAAGCATGGAATAGTGGAGTTAGTTTNTTTATAAAATTTTTGATATATAACGCGCGCTCTGATTGGCTGACGACCGTGTTTATATCAGAGGACAGAGACACGGCTTACCGGCAAAATTTTCTTTTCGCTCGAAAAATTTTATAAAAGAAATATAAAACGGCCGCTTGTGTCTCTGTCCTCTGATATAAACACGGTGGGAGTTGAAAAACACTCGAGAAGCAAGAGAAACACTCGCTACGCTCGTGTTCCTAAGCTTGCTTCTCTCGTGTTTTTCGAACTCCCACCGTGTTTATATCAGAGGACAGAGACACGCGCGCCGTTTTATAGTGGTTTTGAAATCAGTAGTAAAATAAACGATAAAGACAACAAGTGATTTTTACGACGTTTCGAGCCTCCGAGAAGATCTAAACGAATACGAGCCATGACAAACTCCATCCCAGGCTGGGAAAAATAGTGACACTTGAAAGTTCATCAAGTATCGCTAAATATTATCAAGACCTTACATGTAAAACTAATAGGTAATCGCGAAGAATATATCGAGGATCAAGATGCAGAATAACCACAGTTGAAGCTTTGAAAAAATAATGTTGATGTAATGGCGCTAGAAACAAAAATACAAAAATAAAACAAGAATCTCAGTGTATTGTGCGAATCAAACCTAATTTTGCATAAAAAAACAATTCTTCAACAGGTGATCACTTCAAAATCATTCTAAAACTAGAATTTATAATGATGTTTAAAGATGTCTCTTTGTACACAAAGATGTCACAAAAAATCATTGTGGTAAAAAGCGTGAAAATAAARCTCTAGAAGTGTAAACTAAAATTCGATAGCAAGGTTTGCGTGCAATCAACAAAAGCAAATTAGATGTCAAAAAGCTCAAACTACCTAAACAAAAGGAAAATGAGTTGATTAATCAATATTCTTCGTTTTCAAGYTACGTCACAGCGGCCATCTTGGAGGAACCTCAACAAAARATTTTATATTAGAATCTATTGTTCATTCCTCCAACATGGCCGCCGGTCTTTTATCTTTTGAATCTCCTGGGAATGGTTGAAAACGATCAATAGCATTACAAAGCTCGAGTATCAGTACAGACATCTTTGAAAAAATGCCCTTAAAGATATATAAGTCATCAACAATGTTTCATTTAAAGTTGAATTTTAATTAGTAATAACTTTCATCCACCTCCGCTAAAAAATCTAGAAAGTGGTCTCGCTTGATCTCGTTGTCTCCATCGAGTACCTCTGGACAGCTATATTTCACATGAAGGATTCCGACGCGTGCATGACTTCGTAGCATCTGTCTTGACGATGTGGTCAAAATACCTACAAATATCCTGCTAACACTCCACAAAAGGAGGAGGATCCATAAACCAACAAAACTTCTTCACTTCTTTCCCTTCAGTGCATTTATTCTAATAGTAAAGGTTGAGTGCAAGACAGCATTGTTAGTATATTAATTATGCTTTTAGTAAAAGAGTGAAACATTTAATTTACTTTCTAAAATATTTAGGATACTACGCGCGCTGTGATTGGTCGAAAACCATTTTTGATTACAGTATCAAAACACGCTCGCGCACGTCAAAAATTTCTTTTTTTCTTTTAATTTTAGAAAAGAAATAAAAGACGAAATTCCGTGTTTGATACTCTGATCAAAACACTTGGGATGTGGGGAGAGCACTCGAAAAGCT